AATTATAGTATAATTTATTAATTAAAAAAACTATTAATACTATTACAATTATAATAAATAAAAATTATTTTTCATACTATTATCATACTTTTAAAAGGCTAGTAAGATGAAATGTAACACATAGTCCTTCATTGGAGGTGAAATCCTAAGGTACAAAACATAAGCCTAATGAATTTTTATTGTTTTTAAATTTTCAATAATTTTAAATATTATATGAAGATAAGTTAGGGATAAATTTTAAATTTTCTATGAAATAACATACTTAAATAATAAATTAATAATGTGAGCAAAGATTTCAAAAAAGTAAGGAAATGTATATAATTAATAAGAGGTGATATATAATTAGTGAATGATTTGAAATTATACAAGAGGAGGTGAATAGGATAAATTACTAATCTAATCCGATTTAATGCTAATTAAAAAACTTATTAACTAATCATCCTAGCAAGAATGATATTCAAGAAGATTATATGCAAGGATATTAAACTAAGGGCGGAATAAACATGAACCAATGGCGATATACCAATATAATGAGCACAAGATAAAGACAACAAGGCAAAAATTACCCTCCATACAACAATATTCATCACAAAAGATTAAGATATCCAAAAAAAAGAAAATATGTAACACAAATTAAACTGAGCAAATACCCAAAAAAATAAAGCATTTAGATATGCGCTACAATAAACCACTTTACTTTTTTTGCTTTTAGAGTTTGACGATATGTTCTAGACTTGTGAAATACACTACTATGTAATCTCAAATGGTATTTTATCATTCAATTAATAAAACTCTATTATATAATGAAACTAACATAAGAATTAACTATGATTCATTCCAGATTCATAACATGTAAAATCAAATTAAAGATTTACCATAAAACACATGATATACACTTCTGCGTCCTCATGAATTTGTGGCAATCTGGGTACTTTTCTTCATAAGAACATTGGAGGTTATAAATTTTTGTTACTAATGTGGACATGTCAATATGGACATTGTCGCTTCTCGGCTTAGTCCTTGTCAACAAACTCTCAACGTATTTTGCTACCTCTCACTGGTGCTTATCATTGCCAATAAATTCTCCATGAGGTTTGCTACCTATTTCCAGTTCTCCTCGGTCTCATTGTCATCGTCAACAAAAACGGTGACTGCCTCTCCTAGGTGCTCCTCGACCTCATCATCGATCAAACCAACTTTAAAATGAATCCTTTTTAAATGAATTTTTTTGCTGCCAAAGCTTCCTCCTCCACTTGCTCTATACCTAAACTCCTATCGTAGAACCTTTTGGTCTATCTCCTTTGAGCTTCGATCCCCCTATAAGTCCATTGTATTTGGAGTCATTAAATCTCAGAATACATAGAATTTTTTTAATTAATGACAATAAATATGAATAGTCGCCTTAGTAATCAATTGGAGGGAAGTTACAAAATTAAATGTCTAAATTGATGAGAAGAATTTAATTTATTGGCATTTAGAAGAGTCGCTTTATTCGTTTAGGGATTGGAAAAGAGGCGAATGTGAGGAGAATTAGGGAGGGGAGTTTGGGTTTCAGGCTAAATAAATAAATACATATTAAATTACAACATAAAGTATTAGAGAGTTTTTTGATTTTTTATGTGGATATAAGGATACCCTAAAAGTCCTTATAAAGTATGTATGTATGAGTCAATGTATATATGACATTTAATAAATGATTTTAGTATGTAAATGTATGTGTAATTTATGATATATGTATGTGTGTTTGAGGGTATTTTTGGTAAAAATGTTTTAACATGACTACACAATTTTATAATAGTATAAGATGTATCATGTGTTTTGGAGGATGTATGTATGTGTTCTATTAATGTGTGCATGTGTTTTGGAGGGTACTTTGGGAAGAAATGTTTTAACATGCCAATCCACTTTTATAATAGTATTAGATTAGATTAGATTTAATCTATTGGCATTTGGAAGAGTCGGTTTATTTGTGGAGGGATTGGAAAAGAGGCGGATGTGAAGAGAATTAAGGAGGGCAGTTTGGGTTTCAGGCTAAATAAATAAATACATATTAATTACAACAAAAAGTATAAGAGAGTGTTGTGATTTTTATGTGGATATAAGGATACCCTAAAAGTCCTCATAAATTATGTATGTATGAGTCAATGTATGTATGACATTTAATAAATAGTTTTAGTATGTAAATATATGTGTAATTTATGATGTATGTATATGTGTTTGAGGTCATTTTTGGTAGAAATATTTTAACATGGCTACACACTTTTATAAGACTAGTTGAATTGCACGTGGTAAATTTTTTATCATTTATTATAAATTTTTAAATTTATTTAGGGAAATATTTGTTATTAAATTATTGAATATAAGCAATGGATCAAACATATAGACATAAGCTAAAAATTCAACATTTGAACAATAAAATTACATTTAGTGATTGATTGGTTGAGAGTACACATGCACTCATTGAATGAATGGGATACTTGGATTGAACATTAAATCTTTTGTGTCCTATAACAAAATAATATGACCAGCACTCAAAATAGAATACAATAGAATTGATTCAGCAAGTGCAATATGTTTTCAAGAAAATACATGTCAAGTAGCATAGACAATTATCTAGCATCGGTTAATCACTATGAAGTCAAGCTCTTCTCATGTCTTCTTAAGAGAAAGGATTGAGTCTTGAAAGAAGACCCCAACCGAGCAATACATTTTTGAAAAAATGGGTGATTACAATCTACTTACAGATAATCATCAAAATCCCCAACCAAAGAATAAAATGAAGAGTATCTCTCATTACATCACACCAAAAAAAAAAACATAAAATTCCCTAGCTGTATACATCAAAAACCTATCAAAACAACTCCTAACATACTCACACCAAAAAATTGGAACATTAACAACATTTAGCAACAAAATATAAAGCTTAAAAACATCTCCATTCACCAAAGACCTGACCTCAACTAAATAGCATCAAATTGTTGATCTCCTAGCAGCTCCCCATGTCTCTTACTAGAAAGGCTAAAACAATAAGAAGGACAAATCAAGACATATAACCTTCTGAACACAAAGTTAAAGGAACATGAAACAGGGATGCATAGGGAATTAGAGCAGATCACCTAAGTACTGATTGAATCATTGATAATGAACAAAGCAATATAGAAATAAATCTCTCCTATAAAGAACATTCTTTTTAAACAAATACCCATTACATCTACAATATTTCTTATATTATAATGTCTGCCAACATTTCTTACATTAACATCTATAATATTTGTTATGCTATAAAGTCTATCAATAGAATAATTAAGCTAATAGACGCAAATGCGTTTTGGCTAACTATCATTCTCTAAGTTATCATATGACTTGTAGCCTGTAAGCTTAATAATTTCCTTTAGCAATTGCATTATCAATTTTTATATGTATCACTGAGGTTTGCATACATCCATACTTACTTCAGAAAGTATTTAGAGAGGTGTAGGTGTAAATCTCACCATTTAAACACTTGAAGGTTGAGGAAATATGTCGAGCCAAAAGGAAATAATTAAACACCTAAATCTGCGATAAATAACATAAAGAATGTAACTACTGTTTAGATTTGTCCATAAGGCAACACCTTTATCATGTCATGTCTCACATCTTCACTTTTCTCCACTGCATGCAGAAGTACGAAAGTTCTTAGAGTTACAGATAAAGGAAGGTCAAGGATAGCCAATACAAAGGTGTTCGAAATTGATAGACGTCTATCTACTATACATATGTAAAAGGGGGAAAACCAATACCATTATATCTATGAATTTTAAGGTATATGCAAAATTTCACAAGGTTCAAATCTCTCTAACCCAATTTATTTTATTTCATCAAGTACTATAAATGCACATTATCACTTACACTGATATGAACAGTCTCAAATCTTTTAACTTAATACATAAGCATGATTTGACAAAATCTTGTGGTTAGTTATGCTCAACAAGCTCATGACCAAGGAAAAAGTTAAAGCTTAGGGGAGAACAGATGATGCACACGGTAACCTTTGTGGGCTCATAATAAAACTGTTGAGCATTTGTTCTTTAAATGCTTATTTTCAGCTCGAATATGTGATCAAATACTATCCTATATGAGGTTACAAGGAAGACATAAGTCTTGGATTAGATTCCGACCTTGGTATAAGACTCTAGAGGGAAGAAAAGGTCCAGGTTCAAGGCATAGAAGAGCTCTGCTTGTATCAACTATATACTATATTTAGCAGGAACGAAACTGCAGACAATTTAGAGGCATTAGCAATTCCCTCACAGGATTACTCAATAAAATTCACAGCTTGATGGCCTGTAAACTTGGTGATTTTAAATGACACTAACTTATATTTGTATATTGTTCTCTCATGCAGCATTGTGATATTTTTTCTTGCTGTTAGAAGCCTACTTTTGTTATACTTTGGAATGCCTAAGTACCCTTGTACACCTGATAATCAGTGAAATATTCTTTACCTATGAAAAAAATTCATCACTCAATTTGGTGCTCAATCGCATGTCGCATTCCTATCTCACACAACTTGGATGAAGTATTGCATTCTTAGTGATAATGCTTCAGAGTATTATGGATTAGCAAGATGTATTGCAAGCTTGGAACTTTGCAAGAAGCCTTAGAGCTTGAGTAAAATAAAGAATTTTCACTTTCAAATGGCCATGAAAGATTAACATAGAATCACATTGCCATACTAACCTAAAGCCAATGAGTCTTACATTTAAGCAAAACATAGAATCACATTGCCATACTAACCTAAAGCCAATGAGTCTTACATTTAAGCAAAATAAAGTTCAGTAGGATAGCAATGCATCTAACCTACGAAGTGTAATTATAAGCAAAAGTAAGAGATATTCTCCTTAATTTTTAAATAGGAGTAAAAATTATGAACGATCATTCTGATATCAAATAGTTACTCAAAGCTAATCATAACACAATCATACAATTTAAAAAACAAACATTGGTAATGTAAGTCTTACCCTTGATTGATCCACCTCTGGATCTACCAGGGAAACCACTCCTGCAAGTGTTTCAAGTGTTGTCCCTGCAACCGTACAAACATGAAAAGTGATCAGTTTGATCAAGCACAACAGTAGTTGTACTTAGAAGTTACAACATTAACATGAGACGATTTCCATCCAATCAAAGTGAAGCAATAATTACAAAAGACATAAACTGGTAAATGTAGCATCTAGTGTTAAGTTATTTTCAACATAGATACCAAGAAAGGTAAAAGATTTCAGTACCAGCAACATAAGTGCTGGATTCAGCACTGCTAGAATCATATCGCCATCTTCCATCACTTTGACTAAGCGACTGAGGAAATAATGGTTTAAGTTATACCTCTTCACTAAATGGAAAAGTAGCAAAAAAAATAATGCATAGGAGTTGAAAGCTTATCACCTTTATGGAATCAAAAACACTACTGGCATCTGACAGTGACACATCAAAACCTTGATTCTGCATCAGAAAAATAAAAATATGTTTTTTATGTTTATAAAGTTTCAAATAATAACATAACACATTGAAGATCAAAGAGAAGGCAATTAAGGATGTAACTATATCAATAGAAATAGAACTCGAGCATAATAAACTTGTGTATCAGCTGGAATAATAACAAACAATTTAGTACAAAACAAACAATGCAACGTCTAATTTGATCTCACAGGATATTTTCGGTAAATAGTCATATACAACACATTATACGAAAGAATATACCGAGATCATAAGTAATCACGAGTTCTTCATCAATCTCAGGGCTCCACTCCTCAACATGCAATCTCTCTGCCAAATTCCCCCACTCATAAAACTCAAAGAAAAACAAATAATTTGGAGGCCTCGCATGAGCAACAACCAACTTAGCCAATCAAGGATGATCCACTTCACTTCACGCTAAAAAAAACCAACATCAAAATTATCCATATTGGTCAACATGGGCACTCCCAAAATCCTAACTTTAAGCGAAAACCACCTAAAGGAGTATAAACTTTCTTACCACCACAGTTGAAGTTCTCTGTGGAACTTGTCGAGGTCGTCTGAAGAGGAAAGGACAGGTTTTTTGATGGTAACTCTCCGGCCATCGAGCCTCACGTCGTAGACGGTGCTTTCAGAACCTTTTGTTTGGTGAAATCAAAGGAGAGTCTCAGAATGGACTAACAGAAAATTAGAGAAAAGACATAGAGGGTTTGGTGAAATTTTACCTTTAGCGATAGGGAGAGGAGAGAGAAGGAAGAGGGAGGGAGATGGAGGGGGATTGACTTGCTCGAGCAACTCTCTTCAAACAAAACGGGAGGCACAATCAGTTGAGTCTAGCATTCCTATGCAATTCCCCACAATTCTCTTCAACAAAAAGAAGATGTATGGGTAATTCAATATCAGCATAACATTTTTGGGGGAAAAACAATTTCTTTTCTTAGCTAATAAAGATATCTTACTGGTTTTGGCATCAATCTAACATCTAAGAATGCTGTTCAATCTCAATGCATGAAACACATCCTTCGTTGTAGAAGAAGACGAACCGAGTTTTTCCACAACAAGCGGGCATGTTGCCAGGCTACTTTCGGAAACCTTTTCAGAGTCCTAGAATCCGAAATGTTCTCACTGTTCCATGCTATATTTAGCCTCTTCATTTCGTAACAAATTTTCCATTAATTCTTAAGTAAAAAACTCATAACTTGTGACAATTAGTTGGAATTTATTGGGTGTGAAGGCTTTTGATTTTATAACTCATTTTATAAATTCTTAATAATAATGAAAAACACCTCATAAATTTGCCCATTAATTAGATCCAAATTAACTTTGTTATATTTACAAAAGTTGAAGGGCAATTTGGGGTAGAGAAAGTTTTTCTAGTACTCCCTCTTTTAAAGGGTAGATAAAATACTAGTATAAAGTACGTGTGTTGCACGTGGAAGTACATGCCATATTTTCTAATGCACTCACCAATGGTGTCATGCAAAATATTCCATAAATTAAGAAAAGGAGGTACCAACTTCCTTAGGTGCTTTTTTTGTTTCTCCTTTTTTTATGTTATTATGTTGGTAGTTTTACCAAAATCATCAATAAGTTTTATAAGATATTGTCCTTATAATTTTAAATATAATTTAATAGTTATTCTTAAGATATGATTTTTTAAATTTTTTTTATTTTGTTGTTTTTTGTCTTTCATTAAACAATCACATAATGCCATCACTAATATTAACATGACAGGGACAGATTTTCAATGTGAAATTATACTGGTTAGATATATAACATTTTAAACTTGCAAATTTTTGTACTTTGCATCCGAGGAAAACTAACTTTTAATATACTTGAGCAACCTGTTTAATCATGATCATGAAAAATCTGCGTTTTTTTAATTCATTTGATAATATCCTCACATTCTTCATATTAATTTGAGCATATCAAAGGTTTTTTCCTTCACTTTTTTCTCTCTTTTTTTCTTTTTTTTTTCTTTCCTTTTTCCTCTTTTTTCTCTTTTTTTTTTGCTTGCCTTGGAAGCTAGTAACTCAACTACACGAGAAATATATAACTTGCAACAAATGGATGAAAAATGGAACTTGATAACGAAGGGTGTTATTTGCATAAATTTTAACATCTCACAAAGAATTTCGAAGTTAATTATGCATCATACTAAGCACATTCCAACTCTTTAATACTTCCTAAATGTTTGTCCATGGCAATCAACTAATTTCTACACCTCTTGAAAGAAAGATACAACAATGTAAACATAAGAGAGAGAGAGCTAACAAAAAGGATTTTTTTAGCAAAACCATGTCGAGAATCAAACTGAAAGTACTCCGTCTCAATATCAGTCCTAATCTTCAACAATTGCATGCACCATCATCCTCCAAGTATCCAATGGCTGTATTTTCATCCTCGAATGTTCTCTACCAAACCCAAACTCTTCCTTCACTTTGATATCATCACATTATCTATTGTCATCATTTATTTCTCTACCACACCCCAACTCCTCCTTCACTTTTGACATCATCACATTGTCCATTGTCACCATTTCTTTCACAAAGGAACAATTCCTCCAACTTCCACCGGCCTCTAAGATTATAGAAGCTTGGAATTTGGAGATATGAGATTTGAAAGGTTGAAATAAGATATGGACAAAAATAAATGCTTAATTTGACAAAAGTGAAGAAAAAAGGCTACAGATCAAGAAAGAAATAGGATGAGAAAAAAGTTATTCTCATTTGGAGATATGGGATTTGAAAGGCTAGAATAATTTCTTATATTAAAGTTTTAGAAAAATTATTCTTTTTCTGTTCAAATAAAAACTCTATATATTAATAAATAAATTTCTCATTTTTATGTAAAAAAGAGCATCTAAGTGAATTAGAAGTCAATCTTGTACCTTAATTGTCGAAACCTAAATCTCATAAATTTGAAGATACACGGTGCTAGCTCTCCAAAATAATCAAGCTCTACCCTGCAAACTTTGAGAAAAATAAGTATTAAAAAATAGTCTTGTACAACTGCATTCATTTAATATTGAAGATACATGGTGCTAGCTCCAAAAAAAAACATCAAACTCTAACCTGTAGAATTTGAGAAAAATGATCATTAAAAGTAATTGAAATTCATGAGAAACTATTTTACATTAGTAAGAGCTCATTTGTTTTGATCTTTGAATTTTAGCGAAGCACAAATTGTGAGTTTTGAAATCGTGCATAGTTGTATTTGAAGTGGAATTTGTATATACACTAAGTAACAATGATTGAGAAAGAGAAGCTGGAAGGTAGAAAATTAAAAGGTTGAGTTAAGAGGTAGACGAAAAAAATAAATTAAATGATCCATGAAAAGAAAGATAAGTGAGACAAATTTAAAAGGTACTTAGAGTTCCTTTGTTTCTTCTTTGTTAACCGTTACCACCTTACCAATTAATATTGAACATTAAATACAAATCATTGTAAGTGGTTTTGGCCTCATGGGCCAAAATTGTTACCCAACCGCTAAAACGTGATCTGGTTATTATGGAATATCTCATATTCTGTTGGATATTCTCTAATCGAGATCTGGCGTTACGGAGAACGGGGGATAGCGGAGAAATAAGAGGCGGCAATTTGGGGACGGAGGGGGTGGTGTGGAACGCCTATAAATAGAGTGGAGTACCTCTCCTCTGATCATGAATAAGTCTCCATTCCGGAGTCCCCAAAATCAATCTCTGATCTTCTCCCCTCTTCACTGGTATCAGAGCCAGTTCATCCCCAAATCTGAGTTTTTTTTTAACCACCAAAGTCCCAAACCCTAGCTTTCTTCCCACATCTCCTTTCCCCCTTCTCTGAGCTCGCCGAGGAAGCTGAATCGCCGCCCTACACTCACGTCGCCAACCCCCGTCGCCGCCCTACACCCGCGTCGCCAACTCCCGTCGCGCCCCACACCTGCGGCCCCGACCAGGCGACACACCCGCCGAGCCCGCGAAGATCGCCAGCCTCCTGTCGCCGCGCATACCATCGCCATATCATTGTAAGGAATTTTTTTTTTTGGTGGGGTCTGCCTTGGTAACGCGAGAAAAGGCGGTCTATTAAATAAGATAGGAATTCTTTTTTGTATAGTAGTTTTTATTATTAGCTAGTGTATTCATACGAAGGATCTTTATTGCAGATTTCATAAAGTGTACAGTTTGAAAATTTTGATTTTTTTTCTCTCAGTTTTAACTTTAATAATAATTAGCATTTATTTACTTTTAATCTATATAGTTTATTTACTTTCCTTCCTATAATTAATCTTGTTGTTATCCACTTATATATAGTAATAAAAAAAAATATAAAGAACTAATACCAGTACATCCTTTTAACCCTTTATAGTTATTTTAGCTAATCAATTAATTAATGTTAGCTTTATAGGTGTAGATTTGCAATCAATTCTATTTTTGTTATTCTTGTCAATTTTTGTTGTTTAAACATCAATTTATTTCTATATTTACAACCTAAATTTAATTATTTTCTGAACTATCAAGCAGAATTTATTCGTCATGCCTAGTAAATTGATTGCATCTGAACTGGCTAAGAATTAGAACACAATCGTTCACAACTATGACATGTGGCATAGGCGAAAATTAAGTATGGACTTATCCATGACAAGTTCGTAGAATATGTCCTAGAGGTTTCTGCACAAATCTTGGTGAAGATCCACTGACGCTCAGAAAACGAGAGCCTTGATCAGTGGCAACTTAAGGACAAAAAGGCTAAAAGCTTAAATGTTAATCGTTTCATGGAAGATAGATTTAATCAAAGTTTTGAAAAACTACAAACTGGCCTAGGCCGAAATGTGGCTTGCAATCAAAGAGAAAGTATGACACTACCTCTGACGGATGAACATACAGCTCTTGATTTGCATAGATTTAATGCAAAGCCGTATGCCCAAGAAGCCTGATGAAGAATTTGTTACTGAACATCGTGAAGCCAAGATGATTGTCATGGCTCAAGGACCTAGCATTCAGCCAGGATCTGAATGCCTGGAGAAATTACACAGTGGCAAAAACTATTTGAGATAGGCCTGCCACCGTCACTAGAGTATGGCGTGCCACAACACTTAGCTGAATGAGAACTCATTAAACGTGCGTTACTGACTTACCAGGCCCAGTTATTCACACCCCTGAACAAGATTTACTAGCTAGGGAGAAAAGGTTCAGATGTTGAACCTTGTGCCAGCAAGAGAAGCAAATGCAGCTCAACTATCGCAAGGGCACAAGGAAAATTCATCAGTTTGGACTTGTCAAACCTTCCTGCAAAGGACCTAACGCCCACACTCCCCTGCTCCCCCCCCACCGCGGTCCTCAACACAAGCGCACCCTCCCTGTCGCCACCTCCATGCCTATTTACTGTAGGTACATCGGCCACTTTCAAGAAGCCACACTGTCACAGGGCGGAAGAACTAAGGGCCTCCGGCTCCCAAACCCCCAGAACAAGGAGCAGGATCGCGTTAAGCGCGGAGTTCATCGGGTCCATTCCGGTGCAATGCTGCCAACTAACAAGACGCTGTGGGCTGCGTGCGACTTGATTCGGGACTACCCGACATATTGCCAAACGACGAAGGAAGGGATATG